AATGTATCTATGTTTTTAGTTATTTTCAACTGTCATATACTACATAAATTCTAGGAAGCATACAATAAATGTAATACATTTTAAATACAAGATTAAACAAAAAGCATAAAGCAAATGAAACTTGAAATACAGCAAACCCCTTTCCATCCCCCTCCCCCTGATCTCAAAACTGAAAACACAGTATTTTAAACTTATAAGACCACAAGACAAACTGTTTAAAAAACTTGGTTGAACATGGTACTGAAAAGGCTATGGGGGTGTTAGTGTCTTGGAAGGATCTGCCTTAACTGAAAAGGTCCTGAACTGGTAGTTATTAGCCTTGTTTCATTCGGCAGGGATACTCAGCCTCTGAAGAACTTGAGGTTGAATGTGGTGCCTACGGGAAAGAAGCCATCTATGCTGGGGCATCTCATGCAAACATTTAGGAATGTAATAATTAAAACCAGCCCTTGTGATGGAAACAGACTGGGATTAGTGCAGGTACAGAAGTGCAAGCCTAAATTGCAATTAGTAATTCTAGCAGCACTATTTTGACCAATCACAATTTTTGTGATCATTTTAAAGACAGTTCTATTTAGTGGCATATAAATGCATTAAACAAATAAGGCATTAAAATAGTCTAAACTGGAGTTTTATTGGTAAGGCCACAACTAGCTTAACCAGAGCTGGTAAGAGAGACATTGACCCAAGAGGTCAGTTGATCTACTGATAACAGTTCTAGATCAATAAGCAACCTGGGCTGTGAACTTGGTATTTTAGTGGGAACATGACTCCTCCTAGAAATGATAAATTTTGGTATGAACATTAGTAATTTTGTAAAATCTTGAACTATCCTCATACTTCTTTTGCTATAAAATCTACAATGTTTGTCTCAAGAAGCACCTCTGGGTAGCAAATGATATTTCTAGATGCCAACTACTGGTTCTTTCTGCCAGTATGGAACAGCCATACACAATTCTTATAATAAATATTCATAAATGCATTTTGTTTTAGCCTATTTCAGGCTTTTAAATAAATGAGGAACAAGGTGAACTAATGCTAGAGACATCTGTGTTAACTTGTGAACAAACTAGGGACCTGCCTTTTCATGGATAAAAATGGTTGTTTCTGTCAAGCCGTTCTAGCTAGCCATGTTAGAACTTCTTTCTGTGACCCGCTCACATTTGGCCCATCCTATCCCAGAACTGTTTCCTGCAGTAGCCATCCTATCAGATCATCATGGGATTCATTTTGATATAGGATCAATGAGTTGGTATCCAAACATGCCTATTCCCTTCTATTTTGCTGGTTTCTTTTCTATCATAGCAAGTTATTAGAGTAAACCCCTTGAGTACTTTGGCAGATACAGTAAATTTATGGTAAAAATAGCACAACTGAATGCCAAATAGTGTGTGTCCATGTCCATGGGCACACACATGTCTCTTGCTTGTGAGGGTTTATCTGAAGAGAGAAGTCACTCAGAAGAAAGCTGAGCTGTAGCAAGAACAAGCATACATTCACCAATTCCAAGAAAGTATTAGAAATCTTTTGGAAGGAGAAAGGGAAAGAAGTCATTTGAAAACAGGAAATGCAAAGTTACAGCCACAAAATAATTACTATGGGATATTCCACTTATCTCTGATAGTATATGATCCTAGTGTATATGATCCAAACAAAACTAGTACATGAGTCCACATGTAAGTCTATGGTAGTTTGTGCAGGAAACTACTACAAAAGAAACCAATGCTTCTTTATTATAATTGCTGGAGCATATGGAAGTTCCTATAATCATATACCCTAGCAATAATATCTAGATTCCTATGTATAAAGGACTAGTAGAAGGATGCATTAATTCAGTAGATTGCCTGAGACAGATTCTAACATTTTAGAGTGACTTAAAAAGGAAGGAAATGGCTTACTGAGGCCCAGAAGGGAACCAGTATTTTCTACTTAAATCACTGCATATTTTAATGATCTTCATATTATATAAACTAGCCCTAGCCATACATCCTTCAGCTCCTACGTGTTGGACAGGACTGCAGAGACCTGGTAAGACTGAACTTTCCCATTGAGCCAGTCAGACTATACCTCAGAATGATTATAACTATTCCATAAATATCCCAGATTAATTCTGATCCCAACATCAAATCCACTTAAGAGACTTAAAAAGCCTGAGTCGTCAGGGCTGTAGCTCAAAGACTGTCCCCTCCTGGAGTCAGAGCAATACCTTATCAAAACATGGGAAATTTTATTTCTTGTGTGAGGTAAAGTTCACACCTTGGGTGTGAGGCAAAGCAATCTGAACACATCTGTAGGGTCCCTGTCTAAACATTATTCAATAAATTCTTATGTACAAGGTTAATTGGGCATTTAAAAAGCCCTTGTTATGAAAGCAGGATATTTGCTCTCTGAACAGCAGCTGTTTAAGGAGTTATTCTCTCTCTCCCATTGAAGGGATTTATCCTCAGTATCTTTCAAACCAATTGAATATTTCAGGCAAATAGGGGGAAATAAAACTAGCAGCAACATACTTTCTTCCAAATTATACATTCTAAAATAAATGGTAGCCCCCTAGACAATGAACAAAAATCAACACCACAGGAACAAATAGGTAAGAACGAGCAAACAAAATGGTGAACATGAACTAACTTAAAAACATCCCTGCACTGTGTAGATTACAGAAACAGCCTGCCAAACATGGAACTGAGCTTCTGAGACACATTACACTGAGAAACTAATGGTAACAAGTATAAGGGCAGAGTCCTTTGTAATCCACTGTAACCTTACCTCCCTGGTTGAGAATCAGCTCTGCACAACAGTTACTGGTGACATTCCTATGGGTTTATTCTTTAAAAGCTGCTCAAATTACAAACACTAAGCTCACAATCTTTGTGAAAAAGGCACTGTTGCAGCTATATATCCATGCAACTCACTTTTAGAAAAACTGCGTTGCAGAAATAAAAGTGTAACTCCTAGTGCTAGTCATAGTGGTTTGCACTGTAAGACATAATGTAGTGTAGAAATTAAATAAATAAACAACATACTTAAGAACAGATGCCCAAAGAGATACTGTCTCAGAGAACAAGAATCAAAGGTTTGCCATTGCTTGTTAATATGCCCTGGACTGTTCATGCAACTATTATTTATTGCCCTTCATTGACTGGCTATGTGATGTATGCAGAACTTATCCTAAAGACACATACATACTAACTGCGCAGACAAGAGCCTTCTACCATAGGTTTAAGAACATTGAAACAATTTATGGCTTTAAAAACTCTTCATAAATTTACATACATGATAAAACAGAAAGCCACCTTATATGAAGAAGACCATTGGTCCATCTTACAAGTTAACTGGCACTATCACCAGGGGTTCAGGCAGCATTTTTCTAGCCTATCTAATGTTGCTTGAAATGGAACATGGGACCTTTTGCTAGTAAAGCAGATGTTCTACTTACAACACCTCACCTGTTGAGTGAATAAATGATGAGAAAGCATATTATCATAGGTTTTAAGTGATTTACACTTGCTGCAAGTGGCACCATATTAAAAGAGGCAGTTCACCTACTCACACCAGATGAAAATCCTTCTGAAATGTTTCACATTACTAGGCAGTGGGGGGCTTGTGGGGAGGGCTTGGACAGTAAATACTTTATTAAAATAGTTCATCATAAAACTGTTATAATGGAATTTTGTAGCAAAATGATTTGGCATAGTTTAAAATTGTCAATTGCTTAAGTACTGTGACCCTAAATGAGAAATATTATGCTTCCAACTATATTGCAACTAACTAAGCAGTTATATACTTTAATATATAAGTGGGGCAGTCTTGCACACTTCCAAAGAAGTTTCCAAAATCTTTATTAGAGAAACCCAAATGTGATTTAGTAAGAGCTAAAAAATAAATCACAGGAGCCTTTACAGAGGTAAAGGTTGATTAAGAAATAGGCTATACCATCCCTACTTAAAAGTAATTTGTTAACTTTTATTTTAATCCATTAGAGAGAGAGAGAGAGAGAGAGAGAGAGAGAGAGAGAGAGAGCGCGAGCGAGCACACCTGTCAGGAAAGTGTAGCTCTTTAACTACTCCTGAATTGGCCTTACTTTAAGCAGTAATGCAGTTAAGCAGCTCCCCATACATGATTAATTAACGATTAAAGCATTCTGTAAATAGACCCAGAGTAGACTGCAAACAGGTGCCCAAAGATCAACAGGTTTAGATTTGAACTAGTCACAGTTTGGAAGGGTGGCCACCTGCCAATGTTTACTGACCCTCCTTCTGTCAGTTCCACTTAGCAACGCCTCGTTCCACTCCAAGCGCCGCCAAGCTCGCTCCTTTGCCTCGGCCTAGAGGCCCTACTGGCTAGCCACCTCTAGAGCACCACCTGCGGTTGGGTTCTCCACGCTCCTATTCCATCATCTTCCCTTGAAGCCTTTCCGACCTAGGGCTCCTCCGCGGCCACAGCTCCCAAAGGTAGTGCAGCTTCTTCCGCAGGAAAGCTCCAACAATTTACTCAGGAATAATCCATGGAGAGCAAATCACTGGAATGCTGCGCCTTTAAGCAGGCACGCAGCTACTGCAGCGAAGCAGAAGGCGGGTGCCAGAGAGGGACGCGCGCGCTTTCCCTCCTTCTACCTGGGCTCGCTCCTTCCACCGGCGCCCAAGCCGAGGCCACCCAGGGAAAACGTCGTCATCAGCCGTCGGGGAAGTGTGTGCGACTGGCGGACTGCCCGCCCGTGTGCGGCGGGGGCGCTTTGCTTCATGTTATCCGTAACCACAGGCAGCCCCTACCTCACATCAGCCCCACCGACGACCCTCGGGAAACCGCGCGCAGGTGCAAGACCGAGCGCTACCGCCGCACCTGGCTTGGGCCACCCAGCCCCTGAGCTGCCCAAGCAAACCTCGGGCTGCTCCGAGGTGTTCTGTCGCTCCTTTCCAAGCCAGCAGAGAGTTGGCCCTGCACCTCTCCCTCCGCCCCGCGCCCGACACGTCGATGAGAGCCTCCCCTCGCCGGCGCCTTACTTTGCATCCCTGGCGTTCTCCTGGCCGTCTCCCGGCGGCGGCGGCGGGGCGGGCAAGGCTGCCTGCTGCAGCAGGAGCAGCCTGCATGTGGCCAGGTGCCGCTGGTGCTCGTCCTGCAGGCGAGCGTTCTCGTGGTACAGCCGGGCCACTTGCTGCTCGAGCTCGTCGATCCGGAGCTTCTGCTTCTCCAGCAGCTCCTGCTGGGTCTCGATAATCTTGTTGAGCTCCTTGAGGTACTCCGCCGCCTTGCTGGGGTTCTCCGTCGGGGTCTCCATGACCGCCCAAGCCCCGCCGCTCACCTTGGCAACGAGGCGGCCGGCCAGGGCGCCGGGACGGCCGCTGGACGCTCAGCGCGACTGCGAGCGGAGAGGCGCACCCAACCGAGCGCCGACCCGAATGCCCCCGCAGCCCAGTGGCAAGCCCGCTCCTCGGCTAGGGGGAGCAGACGCAGCTGTTTCTACTTCGGGCCGCCATTGCCTACGGGCCCTCCTGCCGCTCCTGGCCGGGCTTGCCGCGCGCGGCACCTCCACTTTGGAGTCGTTCCGCGACTCCGGTGCACAGGCTTCGCAGCCGCGCTGAAGCAACAGCCACCGACTCCTCCTGCCCCTCCGGCGAACCCCTGGAAAAGTCTCCGTGGACAGTTCAGAGGGAGCCTGCGGGCAGTGTCCCTCACCTCGCGGCGTCCCCCGTGGACTGCCCCTGCCCCCGCTTCAGTCCGCCGCCGCCTCTTCCTCCTCCTCCCGCACGCAGGCGCTTCGCCCCCTCCGCCGCCGGTCCTGTGGAACAGCAACAGTCGCTTCCTGCGCGTGCCGGCGCGGACGGAACAGCGCGGAGTTTGGAAAGTGCCTGCTCCCTGCCAGGTGTCGCGCCGCTTCACGGACCTTGGGGCGGAGCTGCTCCGTCCTGGGTCGGAGCGGCTGCTCTCAGCGCCGCGCTGAGTGCTGACTGCGCCGCCGTAGCAGCAGCTGCTGCTGCTGGGTGCTTGCTACTGCCACCGCGGCGGCGTCTTTTTCCCAGCCGCTGGCCGGCGGGCGAGCTCGTCGGGCGCAGCGCTTTACTCCCCCCTCCCCACGCCGCCCTCCAACGCAGACGCGCCCCGTGTTGGCTAAGAAGCGGAGGGGCGGGGAGGAGGGCGGCTGATGACGGCTGTGAGCGGAGGCGGGAGGCGGCAGGCCGGGAGCTGCCGCCGGGCAGCGCGACAGGGAAGCCGGGGAGCAGCCAGGCGCCTCGGAGCAGCTCCTCTTTTGGCGGGAACCGGCTAGGAGCCCCGCGCCACGGCGGGGGGAAAGCTGGGGGGCTGGAGGAAGGGGGCCTCTCTCCCTCCCTCTCCGAACTGGGGAGGCAGCCCCGCGACCGGGTGGGACCCCGCGCGCCCCAGCGCCCCGCCAGGTAAGGGGAGGGCGCGGACGCGTGTATGGAGAAAGCGAAGTAGATGCGAGCGAGGCATGTGTGCTCTTTAAAAGGAGCAAAAGCGTGGCGCCGGCCTTCCTCTCCCTTGCAGTCCGCACGCCAACCCCCAAGCAGCCCGGTCAGCGCTCGGGCATTTCGTCTCTCCCCATTCCTTCCCTGCCACATTGGTGAGGCAAGCCGGCAGGCCACTCCCCCCCCCCGCCCCAGCAGCCCTCCGCCCGGGAGGAGGGGGCGCCCCGGCGCTCGAACAGCAGCGCTGAACTTGCACTGCTGCTCCTGCATTTCATAAGTGAATATTGAATTTCCGCGATGGGGCGTGGGGAGGATGGCCTGAGGTAGCGCGCGGGGGTTAATGCTCCGCGCGCGCGCTCCCCGCTCGGGGATATTACGGAGAGCGATGGAGGAGCTGGCAGAGGCGGCGGCGGCGGCTGAGCAGCGCTGAAGCTGCTTGAAAACAACCCCACCCGGGCGTTCCAGGAGGCGGCAAAAGCCGCTCTCCAGCCTTCCGCCTTCAAGTCACGCTTCTGCCTCTGGGTGGCCAACTGCTGGCCAGGGAAAGCAGTCGCCTGCCCGTTCTCGATGTGTGACTCCGTCTGGCTGCGCGTGCCGAACGCGGGTCTTGCGCCGTCAAGACCGCAGCAGGTTGGAGAGCGCGAGAGGATCTGGTGTGGTGAAGCTTTGGCACAAATCCAGTTGTTTGGCCGGAAAGGTTATCAAAAACAAGCTGGCTCGGGGGAGAAAGCAGAGTGAGCAGGCATGTAGGCTGAAGGCAAAGAAAGCACAAGGATGTCCTTCCTCTTTTCCCCTCCTGCTCCCTTCAAAACGGCCTTTCTGCCTCTCTCTTCCTTTCCTCTACATCCTCTTGCCCTTCTCCTAAGTTCCTAAATCTTCGTTGATTCTCAAATGTCGCAGTAGCGTTTGCTACTTCACCGGTTTCACTGGCCCTTCTTCTGCAAAGTCAGCTCCTCTGGAACCTGGGCTGCAATTCTTGCTAACACTTGAGAGAATAGGCAGCTTGAGTGAAGAGAGTGATGCAGCACAGGAGAGGATGACCTGGGGGCTCCTGATAGCAAAGCTATCAGAGGTAAGAACCCTTCCCCTTCCTGCCATGCACTGGCCAATACACTCATTCCAGAGAAGATCAGTTACTCTAAAATAAGCTAGATGTAAATAGCTGCTTTCAGTATTTTTAATTTTTGACATACATCATCTGTGAACAGTTCATGAAAATTACATCCAGGATTTACAATTGTCTTTCCTACCTCCTGACATATATGAAAGGAAACTAAACGATTGGGGGGGGGGGGAGTAAAAGCAACCTCACTTCTAAGTGGCTATAACATGTTACTGTGTGTGTACTTTTTATTTCCAAAGGTAAACAACATAGTTTTATGAACTGAAGCACCCCATGTGTAGAGTTATAACATCTGTTGTAACTAAACTAAAAGTGCTATGTAGACTCCATCTTAACAGAGCAAATGGCCAGGATTCATAAAAAATGTGCACAAAATTAAGTGATTTTAAACATATCAATAACATAAACTTGACTTCCATTTCTCTTTTAAGTCCCCTGTTGACACATCTTGGCTATAATCCCCAAAGCAAGTTCTGTATGTTCTGTAATGAGTCCACTGAAATGTCTTTTTAGTTAGTGAATCTTAAGGAAAGAAGTGGGGATGTCCAGACAAAGTTTACTTCCACTATTGTTCCCTCCTTCCTTCCCTCTCCTGACCCTTCAGAGATAAGAATGTTTTTCCCCAAAGCTCTTGTTACTCTCCAGAATAACTTTGACATCTTGCCTGAGATGGACCGTCCTTTTGTAAATTACTGTATCTGCTTTAGATATGATGTAGCTCGTCATAGATTTCATCCATGCTCTTATACTGTTTTAGCTTGAATCCCAGCATTGATTTCATTTTTACATAACTACAGGGTCTAACCTCACTCTCTCTGGCTGGCTATTGGCCCATTCCCCATATTAAGAAAACACTGAATAGCAAGTTTGGTTCTAGGCTAGTAGTAACTAGTAGACTCCACATGCATGATTTCTCACTCTCAGCCACTTTCAGAACTCAAATGCTTTCAATGGAGAGTGGGCGAAGATTAGTGCCTCCATGCTTGATTGGCCCCACAAAAGATTTAGGGAGCTGATTTCTTTTGTACCTGCTCATGAAAAGGACAGATTAAGGCATCATCAGGATACCTTGTATCCCGGTGGAGCCTCACTCATCCCTTCCCTGCTTTCAAGAATGCCCACCAGAGCACCATCACTCTAAGGCAGGGGTGGGCAATTAATTTTCCTATGGGGGGCCACATGAGAAACTTTGACAGTTGTTAAGGGCCTGACCAATACACTTACAGCTCTGCTCAATATATATCTCTATAAAAACAGTAAATGAAGCATTACGATGATACAGTGAAAATGTGGAGCACAGAACAACACTATTTAATGAATATTCACAAAAACATTAACATTACATGAAAAGCAATAAATTCAATTCAATTTAGCAGATCCTTCAAAATAAAAGCAGTGCAGTTGTATTGCTTGCATCTATATTACAACGATATATATTTGCATTGACTTTTAATTTGCCAGTGACCTCATGCTGGCCAGTCAGGGTCAGCCATCGGGCCGATGTGGCCCGCAGGCCATACAGTGCCCAGGTCTGCTCTAAGGTCAGTGTTGCAACTTTAGAGCTAATGCAGGGACGGCAGTCCAAATTCAGAATCACAGTGCATTTCCAAGCTTGGAACTTGGGCTTTGGCATTTTTGCTTCTTTTTTTAACATAGCATTTTGCCTATATTTGAATTATTTTAGCCTTGCTTTTATTAAAAAGTTTAGAAATACTTATGGCTGGCTGAAAGATAATGCAGAAATATAGCATCAAATATTGATGAGCTTATACTTGCTTTAGACTGGCTACCTTTTTTGACAAGGTTCCTGTGCCTTTAACAACTTTACTCTCCCGCAAGAAACATCATCCTTTTTCTAGACATTGCAGCCTTATTTGCAAAATCAGACAAAACCTCTTTACTTTTTAGAGCCATGTTGTTTGTGTTATTTAAAAAGAATCCAACAGAGGCTAAGATAAGAATCTCTCATCTATTCTGTCTGTCTTTCAAGAGCTTTCCCCTGCAGGCTCTCTTCTTTTTTTCTCCTTCAGGATATTAGCAAAAGTGTCTACATTGCAGAGTTCATTAATAGGTTAATTAGGTTAACTTGTCATTCAAGGACAGCCACTTTCCCTTGGCTGGACAGAATCACCTCAAAACTCTTGTCTTAAGAAGCAAGGTCCCTGCAATGTAAGAAATGCCAGGAAAAAAGTAGTATTGCATAAGCTGGCTTAAATGTTCTCTAAGAACATCCACTAGTTTGCCGGATGCTGCTGGGATCCTGCCTGGAGTGTTTAGAAAGAGAAATCACAATTCTTCCCAGGAGCTTTAAACAGCCTATTCACTTCATTGCACCAGATGAATTAAGGGAGCTTGCCAACTAAGAGAGAGGGAGAGCATATTTATAGCATCAGTATCACATTCAAGTTCTGTATGCACAAAAGCTAGTTGCAAGCTGCCTCTGAATGAAGATGCAGGGTATTGACTTTGCCCAGTAAGGCAAACAGGAAATTTCAAGTCCAACCTGCTTAATTAAGAAAGACTAAATTGTTGTATTTGAGTATTTACAATAAGGCATAAGGTATTTTTCCTTGAAAATCCTTCAGAATAAAGTGTTAGATACTAACGTATTTACTGGCTTGAGGCAATTCAAGGGAAATGTATTAGGTTTATATGATTGATTTCTACCACACCTTTTTACCCCCTTCCCCCAAAAAGCTTATTTACTTATGGTGGCTTACAGGTGCAGTTAACATTGATTAGAACAATAGCACAATACATACAAACACAATAAAGCATAATTGTTACAAAAAAAGTAAGAATGACCCTCTTAACAGACTCACATACAAGCCAATGGCCTTCTCAAATAGAATGGTCTTTTCCTAATAGAAGAATGATGACAGAGAGGGACTAAAGCTAGCCTTCTTGGGAAGGCAGCTCCACAGCCAGGGAGTGATTCCTGAAAAGGTCTTCTCTTGGGTCACCACCAAATGTGGCTCTGAAGACAGCAGTCATTAAAGAAGGGCATCTCCAGAAGATCCTAAGAACTGGGCAGGCTTGTATGGGAGAAAGTGGCTGTCAGGTTCCAAGTCATATAAGGCTTCAT